CTCCGTACAGTGCATAACCCATTAACGGATTTCTCCTCATGAATACCACGCAAGTGGGATTTCGGGGTTGGATCTTCTGACCTTAGAAGGTCGTATGACACGTTGAATAAGATGGCCTTTGGAAGGAGACTGGTAGGTGGCTTAAGAAGATTATTTCTTCATATGATTCTTAAGATATTGCGACCTCTGTTCACCACATATATCTGTCCAATTTTAGAATATGGCCACTCCTTATTCATCTACTTTTTAAAGTTTGAGTGCGCTCTTTTGGAAAAGGTTAAGAGACATGTTTCGCAATCTGTTCTGGGGCTCCGTGATCACCCATTCCCCATTCGACTCCTACAGCTAAATTTGTTCTCCTTGGACTACCGTCGTCGCTTGGGTTATCTCACCTATACTAGACGCATCCTCACGGGATAACCCAGAAGTGAGTTACAACAGTTCTTCCAGCTCAACGCTGTTTATTCTACAAGTAGTCACCCATGCACGCTGTTTACTCAGGGAATACACCGATTTCTCATGGATTTCACCCTATCTACTAGATCGGTGAATGACTGGAATGTCCTGACGCATCCAACTCTGAATGATTCGGAATCGACGTAGCAGACAAGGATTTTCTTCATGCACTCCACAACGCAATGACTTAATAAAACTACATTCGCTATGTTTTAAAACCTATGTGCTTCTAACACAATGAACGCCCCATTGCTTTACATTCAGGCCATAAGAAATAAACTGAAGCGAATTTACAACAAGCAGAACAATTCTACTAAAAAGCATCGCACTAGATAGAGGGTCGCTCTAAGGGTCGCTCTACTCCTTGGCATGAGTATACCCATTATACTTATCGCAAACAACAAAACAATGTTAATCAAAATGGATGAAATTAAGACCACAATCTGCTCTCATGAGTACTCGTATGTAGGTGTCAATATGCTTTCACAGACCTGGCTCCATGAGGATGTGGAGGACATAGCTGAAGAGATTAAAGGATTCATTTGCCGTTGTGTTGACCGGCCATGTACATACCGGAACCGTGGTGAAGGTGTCATCACATATTTTAATCCGTCGTGGTGCACGTCAACAAAATCTGTCTCGGTTACCTAGGTCACGCATTAACTGCCTAATTTTGAAATAGAAATCAGGATGTTTAAGCGGCTACCAAACCATTTTACTAGCAAATACTTACATCCCGCCAAACTGTCCCACCTCTGAAACAGAGGACTCGTACCATCAGTTTACTGCACTTTCATCGACCACAAGGATTAATCTCTTCGGATTTTTGCTGGTGATTTCAAGCGAGTGGACACTACTTTTCTCACAAATCTAGGAATGCAAAAAAATGTAAACACCTCCACCAGCCTTAAAGCAAAAGTAAATCAGATATGGTTAACAACGCGAAGTCGTTTTGTGTGCAATCAAGCACCGGTTGGTAGCTTTGGTCATTCCAAGGTCAAATTCTCTCCCGTCGTCTACAGCAAGATAAATGATATGTAGTTTGTTCGATGTAAAATTCGTGGGATTAAAGAGACAATGTTCACCTGGGAACATGCATCGACTTCTAGAAATGATTGCATTCACAGACTAGTGTATTCCTTGACACTCATGTATCTACTTACTGTGACCAGTTAACCAGCTACGTCAGCTTCTGAGTTGATACCTATTGTCCAGTGGAAAAGATTTTCAGCCGTGTATTTTGGTTTTTATCTTCGCATTTAAAACCCCTGCTTAGACACAGGGCAGAAGTGTTCAAAACGAATGACTACTTTTCAGTTACTTCGCTTTCTATTTCGAACGAGATGAACTTGCGTCGAAAAAGCCGTCCGTATTTCCAGACCATACTCGGAAACAGTGGCTATGGGAAGGTCTGGCGGATGCTGAAACAACTTAGTGAGGTCGCTTCCCGTATTTCCACACCATACGTACACTTGCAAGAAATGAACTGCAACTTTTGTTGCTTCAATGCGAGCTCCACTTCTTCCCCTTCCTCTCCCGGAGTGGACAGTCCCACAGTCCCTACTTCTTCCATTTACAGAAATACCAAGCGCAATAAATTGCTGCAGCTGCATTCCAACAAGTTCAGTGGCCCGGACAGATTATCTCCCGTTATCCTCGAAGTGTGTGCCGATTCCTTGTCTAAGATATGTTGTGATCTCCCTACGTTGCGCTTGAATGGATTTAAATTTGCTGACTGTTGGAAAAATTCTGAAATTACACCACTTGCACTTCAGTAAACCTGAAGGTCTCCGAGAAGGATATACTTGAAAAGATGCCGATTCAACCTCACTGAGATGATACCCTCCAGTTGCGTTATCGTTATTCGTGGTCTACCAACGACGCATTAGCCTATCGTGTGCATTTAGTGCAGACGTTGCTAGACAATAAAATGAAATCCGTGCGAGTAAGTTTTCTTGATAACAGGAATGTTTTCAGTAATGTAAGCTGTGAGCATCTTTTGATTGACCTACATGATGCCGGAATGTAATCTTCTACTGTTCACCTACTGGGGGACTATTTCACTGGACGTATACAGTATACTCGACTTTGAGGTAAAAGTTACTTGCCACTCACCACAACCACCGGTGTTCTTCAAGGAGCAATATGGTCCCGATACATTTTTCCACTTACCTCATCTCATCATCCGCCCCTGCTGAAGCGATATCGCCTGAATATGCAGAAGACATAGTCTTAGGTAACCAACACCCGACCTCAGCCTCATCAAACAAATTACAGGTCTGTCTGGATGATCTACCATTTTGGTCCAGAGTTAACCTTTTATCCTTGAATACATTAAAATGCAGTGGCGCTTTTTCTCCATTCACAAAGACCGTCGTTATCTGCAAATATTCATGGATCGCCTTGAACATCACATGGATAGTGAAAGGTTGTGCATCACCGAATCAGTGAAGAGTCTATGTGTCACAATCAGCCGTAATTGTTCTCGGTCACTCCATGTGAATGAAGTTATTACAAATTGATGTGGCTTTCCCACTACGCTGCTCGTTTGCCATCCTTCTCCATCCCTGGCTACTTAGTACTACGATTTATCCCTGCGTGTGTCTCACCTCACTGGGCCTACTGGTCCCCTGTGGCATTTCGAGACTCTTAAGGAGTGATTACAAAATCCTCAATAGGTCAGTGATGCAATTGTCTCGATGTAGTGGTACACTAAAGCCCCGTTCTTTGTTAACCTTATTGTATCTACTCATTCCACTGCAGACCAAAGTTCGCCTCGAAAATACTCACCGATTCAAGTCACCCCCTTTGTGGTTCACTGTCTGACTTCATATCAAGTTCCTCAACCAGACAAAAGTATAAATCCATTAAGGTCCGTACAAAAGCCTGCACTCATCTATGAGACTATATTTGGCGCGTCTGTTATGCAACAAGGCCTCATTCGTCATGAAGGTTATAAGTAGATTTACATAGTAACAATATTATCGCTTTTGTTATTTACTAACTTATTTGTGTATTCTTTGTACAGTGCTGTACGCGTGTGTGTAGCGGATAAATAGCCAACCTTATGGGTAGATAAATCTCGTTCTTGAATTGAACTGAAGTTGTCAAATATAAAATCGCTTCAGCTGGTATAAAGATAGTATTAGAGGTGGAAATAATGATCACAGTAACAGAGCGGCAGCAGCAACAGTATAGTACTTAGTACTGCTCGATGTAGTTTCGGCAGTGTTGGTCAGTGACTAATTTAAAGATCTAATCCGAACAAACTTTGTTTAACTTGTTCTGTCATCAACCTAGGTCATACTGTCTCAGTAGTAAGCCCTCCATAACTGTCATTACTATAAACTGACTGCTGACTGGTTATAATTGGACGTTGACAGACAACAAACTCTCTTCGCACTTTAATCTCTCCAGCCGTGTGAAACCAGGTTGTCGCTGTCACCTTTCATCCTTATCTTCGCCATTAACGAAGTTAGGGAAACTGCGTTTAATGGGCATCACAGCAAAGACTGAGGTGCTTCCCGGCGAGCGTTTTCTTGACTTGGAGTTTTCCGACCACATCGTCGTAATCCGTGATAGCTCCCAAACTTGCCGAACAGCACTGGACAGAGCAGCACTGACAGTCAACCGTTTCCAGCGGTGGTTTGCAGCCTCGAAATGCAAGGCCATTCTCTAAGATTGGCAGGGACGCACCCCTGCGCTCAGCATTGGTCAGTAGCAGCTTGAAGTCGTCGAGAAATGTAAGTATATAGGCAGCTATATCAGCGCCTATGGTATAGCAGAAGAGGTCACGAAGTGCACAGTAAAAGCTCGAAACGCTTTTGACAACCCCCGACACCTGTGTCGCTCTGAAAGAAAAGGTTTAGAAAGCAGCTATGCGTTCAACCGTCTTATATATCTAAGAAACTTGGTTCATCAGGTCGACAGACCTAAAGCAACTAGCTGCATTTTTTGCGCACGGAAACACTCTGAATCCCGCGATGTGCGTTGTTTTGCGCGCCGGGGTCTAGGTAGAAGAGAATGCGAGAAGACCAAGCGATGAATTGCTCAAGAGGAATGAACTCCCTCACTTCGAACTTGGCGACGGTTGGTGTCTTTGGACTGCCAGGCTAGGGTCCCAGGGATCATAAACACATTTGGTTGGTTACACGTGCCTATATGGCAAGCAGCCGACCTTTCCGCTCCCACTTCTCTTCCCATTTCAATCACGCTCTCACACTCCGTACGTAGTATAATACTTTGAAATATCTTTCTTGTCTTTTTAGTTTTTGTAGTCTATAATCTCTGTTGGTTTAGCTTTTTTTTGGCGACAAAAATCTAAACTGTTTCTAACCCTCTGAAAATAGAATCGACTCCGTATCAATTGATAAAAGAGACACGCAATTTCGATGGGTTCATAAGTGATTAAACGGTCGCATGATGCCAATCCACCATGACGGGTCGCTTCTTGCTCGTATACAAGCGTGTCTTGTCCAGACACACGTCTATCCTGCTTTAAAAGTGAGTGCTTATGTGCTATGCTCCTCGTGTACCCTTTGTAGTCCCAAACCGTATTACAAAGACAACTGGATTACAGAAAAGCTGCCACCCAGAATTACAAACTTCCTACCATCGGAGATTGGGTAGAGCTGTATATCACAAACCGGACGGTAGACAAAAAGGTTCAAATTCAGGCTACAGACCTGAAGAATGCCAAGGTAAGCTAGGTCAAAATTTTGCAATGCGGTTCAGCAATTTTGCTCCACTTTTGCATGTGAAGCAAAGGCTCAACCACTCTTGACGATAACATGATCCCAGTCTCTGATTTAATTCGGGACTTAGGAAATAGGTATTCCGTATATTGCAAGAAGAAACCCAAGCGGTACACTTAAAGGGAACATTTGTTTTAGATTTATTCATCATCAGGGTTAGTACCGAAATATACATTGAAAAGAGTAATTCATTCGAGAAACAGGGTGCAATTATTGATTGAACACACATTTTAATTGGTTTATGTAACCTGTCCCGTAGTCAATTGACTGAAGGCATGGGACACCACTGAGTGAGGTCCCATCCCTCTTTGTTAGTGGCTAGCCACAGTAGTTGTAATACTTGGACATGCTTCTTCTGAACGAATAGATTAGGTTTTGTCAACCTGATGCATACCGGTTCAGCGATATCAAGTGGCCGAACCCCTGACCAGTGGTGTAGCTGCGATGACACTCGATAGAGGATCTCAAACGACTTGCATTTATCAACCAGATGACCGGTGCATATCAGATGATTAGGTATTGCACTCAATTTCCTTGTGTCCTGTTGGGTGACGAGCGACATTGGTAAATGTTCCTTGTTTCGCTATTCCAAGTGCCTGGTGATGCTCTCAATGTACCTAGCCCCACAGAAGCAGGTGAGCCGGTAGATTACCATTAATTAACATTGATCAGACATTTTATCTTTAAATACAGCGAACTGTTTGTCAAAACGAAACTTAGTTGAACTGCATTAAAGGTCGTTCGGCAAGTCTGTATCAGTCGTCCTGCGCAGATCTCAGTCGGTATGTCACTCTTAAACGGAAGCTGGAGAAATAGCTGTTTCTTCTCTACCGTTTGTACTGATGGTCCTAAGCTACTAGGCTTTATACGAACGTCAACGAATTGTTCTAGATAACGGTTTTCGAGAAGCTTCTGCCTGATTCGCTTCATTTCATCTTCAATCATGTCCTCTCTACAGAGCATGTACAAATGTTCCTTTACGGCTAAGTGGCTCAAAACTCCGGAAGTGTGTGCAATGGCCTAGACAGTACGGCTTTCTCTATAATCCTATCTGGATTGATCCGTCTTCTCGTCGATTTAAGTTTGCATCCAATAAGTGCATTTGGTTGTCAATTCTTTCTTCATCTGTGAAAGTGGCTTTCGGATGTGCCTCGACGACATTCTGCAAGTTGTTCGTCTGATCAATTATGCAGAATATGTCGTCAACATAACGTCGGTAGAAACCTAGGCCCGATATGACTGATTTTAATGGGCTATCCTCTAACGTTCCCATAGATATATCAGCCAATATTGGTCCGAGAGGTGATCCCATCGCTACGCCATCCACTTGTCAGTGCAATTTGTTGTTAAATTGGAATTGGATGCTATAAGTACATCTGAGTACTAGCTGTTTTAACTAGACAGTTGGTATTTCGGTCTTTCTCTTGTGCTGCTCAATGTAAGTACAAAGAAAGTTACTGTTTCTAGCAGTGAAACATTCGTGAACAAAGATACGACGTCCAGAGAAAACATTCATTAGCCTAAGAGGTTCATGGTTTTAACATTTTCAACAAATAGGAAACTGTCCGTAAGTTGATGAGGGGCTATCATTTTCTTAATAGGATCCAAAATAGACGTTAACCATGTTGCCATGCTGTGATGTGGTGAGTTCCTCATGTTCAATATCGGTAGCAACAGTGCACCCGGCTTGTGTATTTTTGGGAGACGGTAAAGTCTAGGAATTATGGGGCCGATGGACCTTAGCCTTTCATATTTTTCATTAGTCATGTGGCCATTAGTGACCATTGGTTCCAAACACTTCGTCAGTTATACTTCTGTGTAATCCGTTTTGTTCTCTCGCTCACATCGTACAAATCTGGAGAAGTTCGAGAGGATGATTTTCCTTTTTGCACGTATTCCGTGCGATCCATGATTACGGCTCCCGATCCTTTATCTGGTTTGATGATTATGATCCCCACGTTTTGCCGAAGTTCTCTTGTGGCTTTAATGTGTACCTTTGTTACTAATCGGGAACGTGTCATGGGGTATCGTTGATACTGAAAGGAAAGGTTGGTCAAGTCCGACTTAAATTGTCCGAGGCTAGTGTAGGAAGTGGCTACTAAATCACTTGTCTGGCTGTTAAGGTTTTCAAACTGAGTTTCGATTTCTACTCGGTGCTCATTACTTCGTGGATGGCGAAACCTAAGGCCCAATGCAAAAGCCTGCATTCCTATGGTGCCTACTCGCACACTGGACAGGTTGAGTAGATATCTTTCCGGATTTGATGGATATGTGTGCGGATATTTCTTCACGGTCAAGCCTTTCTGCAGAAGCAATCTCTTCTTGTATGTTCGCTTGGAGGTCACGTTACGCATATACTCAATAAACCGGACTCGTTCATCATGGTCGAGGGCGTCCAGGGTGGATTTCCTCTGTGCTATATGCGATTCAGTCTCAAATAGTTACGATTGTCCTGATTCTACAATGTTTTGTACATGACGCTTCATGCTGCTTGTTGTAGGGCGAATGTGCTGCCTATGCAATGCTTCCGGGAATATTTTTGGGTAGTTGCTCGTTTCAACGCACTGACGAGAAAATTCGATAAAGGCTTCCGTTTCGGCAAACCTAACGCTGAACTTAATATACTGATTGAGTTCTTTGAGCGTTTGGGCGCATTTGTAACGTTTAATATCGTGTAGTATGCCCATTTTTTAGTATATATTACAATGAACAATGATATGTTACAGGTAAAAAAGCGATTGCTTTACAAGTCCCGTAGGATGGTTGAAGTGAAAGCAAACATAAGTATAAATCGTCAGTTTAAGCGTCTAGTGGATTCAAGTGCCCCTTATTCATAGAAACGTTGTAGAATATGTACTGAATTGTTACTGTAGAGTAATATGGGAAGTAATATGGGTAAGGCAGGTCTTAAGAACAAGAGAAACGACCAAAGCTTACTCGTGCGCCGCTTTCTTGGACTGGGGTAAATTGAGCAATACAGTTGTAATATATCCGATACTATATTCCACAACAGCAGTGTGTAAATAGTGAAGCACAAAAGCTGAGAATGAGCACCGTTTTTTTTCGCGCTTGTTCAACGTGGACATCTCTGATTATATAGCGTAATGTAGGTGGATAAGCGAATCATCCAGACGTCTTTTGAGTAGCGATAGCGTGGGGGAAGAAACAAGGTATGTGGAAAGAGCGTTCCAGTGTTGGCACACACGAAGGGAAAAGAAATTCCGGCGGCATTCCAACCGGCTGTATTGTGTGGCCAGCTTTAGATGGTGTCCTCTGAGTGTTGTATTGCTATTCAGCTTTAGTAGGTGACGACAACAATGGTTTTGATTCCTCAGGATCATATAAGTCATTATCAAGTCGCCACGCAGGCGTCGATATTGTCCACTGTAGACCCCGAGGGTTTTCAGCCTCAATCGGTAGGGGAGAGGAAACAGGCCCTTTATGTTCTTGGTCGCCCTTCGTTGTGGCAGTTCAAGAGCGGTAAGGTCTTGCTTCTGCCATGGCTGCCAAGCGTGGATGGCGTACTCAGAATGAGGCCGAATGTAGGCTTTCAGCATCTGGGAAAAGATGGAAGGATCGAAGTGTCCTAACGCCCTCCGCAAAAGGCCAAGCTTTTGGTTAGCTTTTTTGGAGGCTTTCTCGGCCTGACGGGAACAGCCCAGATCTTCCTGCACTATCACTCCTCGATCGCACTCCGTTGAAGTGCGCTGCAATATTTGATCCCCCAGTCTGTATTCACAAGTGGCTTTATGGCGTATGCTCAACAGCTTGCACTTTGTAGCATTGAACTGAAGCAGGTTCTGCGTCGACCATTCGTAGACCCTGTCCAGATCAACCTGAAGTGCTGCATTGTCGCTGGTTGTTCTAATGGCTCGCCATATCTTGAGATCATCAGCGAAGAGTAAGGAGTTGGAGTTTATTACTGTCGCGAGATCGTTTATGTTAATCAGGAATAGTCGTGGACCAAGTACTGAGCCCTGGGGCACTCCGCACTTAACGTCGATTGGGTCAGAGATGACGCCGCGAACTCTTACATTCAGATGTCGTTGAAGCAAGAAGTTGGCTATCTAACCGAGGATTGGGTCACCAATTCCACAACACTGCAGCTTGTGAAGGAGGATACGGTGGTTCAGACGGTCGGAAGCCTTTGAGAAATCCAGATATACTGCGTCAACACCTACGCCGCTGTCAACTGTCTCAGTCCAACTAGATCTGGCAAGCAGCAAGTTTGAAGTGCAAGATCGATTCTTGCGAAACCCATGTTGCTCTTGTGCTATGATATTTCGTTCTTTCAAGAAGTTCATCAGAGCTTCAGCGACAATCGCTTCCATGATTTTGGAGAGCACCGGAAGTAGTGTTATCGGGCGATAGTTGTCCGGATCTGTACGACTTCCCCCCTTATGGATGGGAGTGACGATGCCTTGCTTCCACATTGTTGGCACCCGCATCTCATCGAGGCATCGTTGGAAGAACTTGCAGAGTGCGTCTGCCAGGTTTACTGAAGCCATTTTCAACGCTTTTGGACGAATATTATCAACACCGGGAGAGGTATGCTCGCGCAGGGCAATTAGCCTTTTCATGACATCCACTGTCGTAAACGTGATGTGGCTGAGTCCTGGTGGTGGTACAACGATTGGGAACAGTGTATGCGGCGATGTCGTACTCTGAAAGTTTGGGGCGAATTGTTGACATAAGGCGTTGGCCGCCTCGGTTGCGTTTTGTGCAAGTCCACACAATGAGTGTAAAGCAGGAATTCCTTGCCGTACTTTGCGGAGCTTGTTAACGTGTCTGTACAGGAGCTTGGGGTTTGAAAGAAATTTCTCAGCTAGATTCTGTTGGTGTTGCATTTTATCTTCGCGTACCAGGTTTACGCAGTGATTCCTTTGGATAGTATAGGCTTCCCATGTTTCGGCCCTCGGTGACTTCTTGTATCTTCGCCAGAATAA